TACCCTGTCCTGAAACTGCTTTAAAGGGGCCCCATATGCTGTATTTCTTTTAATGAAACACAATATTGTCACCATGTCCTCTGTTGGCCTGGGTGACTGAAAAAGTACAAAAGGGGGGGGGGGATGGCCCGGGTGTAACGCTGACACATTGTTTTAAAATACAGTACAGGAGAGATCAGCCAAAAAGTTTATTTTTGTATCATATCAATCTCTTTTCCCTAACAAAATTTTAATTTGCTTCATCTCAGTCCTTTCAGAAGTTATTTCTTAAAAGATAAAACCATAGAGGCATTGTTTATTTTTCTCCTAAACTCCTTCACAAGAGATGCTTAGTAAGTCCATGATACAACTTTGCAGGCACTGACGTAGCCAATCATTACCATATATTTATTTTATTTTGTAAATGTTAAGAGAAACATCTCCTTAGAAACTATGCCCTTATTTATAGCTGAAGACATTACGCAGACTAAAATTGAATATATACATTTTTGTGATCCACAAGGGGTTAATAGTCCACTTCACAGCACAGAGCATTTTCAAAATATGCTCCTCCTTTCCTAAAAGCACCACCAAAATCATCTGACAGGAAACATAAGATTAAGTTTATCCTACCTAAGAGAACAAAAGGGTACTCAGAACAAACAACTAGTTTACTCTATTGAAATCTCTTGTTTCACAAAATACAGTTGAAGAAATTGTTTTCTTTCTTTTCCTTTGTGGATTCTCCACTGCACCCCGTGTTGGTCATATTGTAGTTTTTCTGTTTTTTCCATAAATGTTAATTTAAAGTGCCAAACATAATCATGTGGAAAATGGACATTATTGATTCCTATGGTCTATTGTTTTCCCATTCTCAGTCCCTGAAGTTCAAGTTCAATCTGGAATTACATCATGTCTGGTTTCTCCTGGTTACCAGACGGCTTGAGACGTGACCACAGCTACAGAAAAAACAAACAGCCTTCTTCACGCTTCGGCTTCCCTATCGATTCAAACGAACTTTTTTTTCTTTCTCTCAAGTATGCTTCAAGTATAGAGCATGGTTAATTTAGAGATTAAGTTCCAAATTAGATTATCTAATGGCATCTTAATGGATTGCTGACCCATTTCCTGTGGGATGGCAGCAGGCAAGTCTGGCTGGAATACAATTAATTTCTTAGGAAGTGTTCCGAAGATGTTTGCTTAAATGGAAAGGAAACATAATTCTCTGCACATCTTTCTTTATTAGAGAGCTGGGTGAAACTATAACTGAGATAGTGACAAACTGAAACAAGCCAGAAATCCTTCCCAGCTACCTCCTGTACTCCAATGATTTTATCAGTCAGTATTTTCATTCCACGGTTCTTATTTATAAAAATTGAGTCTGCATTTTTAGTCCACACAAATGTATGATATATTAGGTAATTTATTTGAAAGAAACAAAAGAAGAATGAGGTTATTGCTACAGATTTTTTTTTAAAGTTTACATTTAGAAGCTTTAATATGCAAGGCTGTTCTGATAGTAAAATAAAGTTCCCAGTCTTCTTTTTCCCATACAGTAAACTCATTTTACTTGCTTAACATCAACAAAACAACTCTTCAGAGTGGAAGGGGAGCAAGGAAAGCTGCTCCAAAAAGTTTTATGTTTTGACACCTCCCCCCTTGGATAGAGTAGAAAAGAATTTCAGTGTTCTGAGCCCAAAGAAGAAGCTAACTGTTGTTTTGTACTTCTCTGGCAAGATGGCAAACTGAAAGCAAGAAATGTTAATTTAGGATCTGGGAACAGCAAAAGTAAACTTAAATTGGCATTCAGGACAATCCTTTATAAAACCGAATTAAATGTATCTGCTTTTTTAAAACACAAAGTAATAATATCTTATAATTATTGCCCTAATGTTACATTTTTGAAAAGTCTGGCTGAAAACTTAAAAAGTTCACAACCATTAATAGTTCAACACTATGGCCTTACTCAGCAGTAAGAGGTAATATTACATGCTGTATGTTGAACTATAAATATATAGTTCAATGTAATACCACACATTAGAAATTGCATCTTCCTGAATAGAAACAATGATGGCATTACATACATCATGACATCATAGAAACAAAACAAATTATGTCATGACACAAATCAAGTATTGCATGTAGTTTATATCATTTGAACAATGGTGCCATGATGCAATATGGTTTGCCCCCGTTTGACCTTCCCATCAAAACCCTTGAACAAAAGTTCTCTCTCTTTCTCTACACACGCACACACATGGACAGACACACACTCACACACAGAAAGAGAGAGAGACAGACAGACAGACACATTGACAGACAGACAGACAGAGACAGATTGATTTTCTTAAACTAAATTCCAATTCAAATAATCTCACACATAGAGCATATAAAATATTCCTAAAATTTCATATATTTGCATGCTGGTTGAATTTATATTAGAACAAATATCCAGGAACTGTTGGTCTTTCTTGCTTAATTAAATTTTATTTAAATCATGCTAAAAAGAAATAAAACTTATTTCTAAATTATTTGGGCAATGCTTACTATGTTTAGAATATTTTTCCTATAAAGGCTAATTAGGAGCTGATTATAAAAAAATAGATGTTATTTTTTTTTTTAAAAAGGAAAATAGTGGCTTATAAGTAAATTCATATTCATTGGAAGTTTTATGGTGAGAATGCTAGAGGCAAAAAAGGAAGATCTCAGGAAACAGTATGGGCACTAAACTTTTATTTACATAATAGTATTATGTTGTGAATAAAAAATAAATTACCATCAGTTTTGGGCCTAGCCCAAAATAATCTTTTTTCTCTAAGGTTACATAGGCAAAATCACCCAGTAAAATTTGAATCAATTGAATCTGCTGTTCATTCACATTAAGACAAGGGACTTATAACGTGGGGTTATGAATGTCTCTTGAAGCCTAGCTTGGGTTTTTTCCTGTCCAAAACCGTACAGCAGTTCTGAAAATACCATTAAGAATGGACGAATGCCCTTTCAAAATTGCACTCCCAAAACATAGCTACTATCTGTATCAAAAATGACATGACATCTTCAAATCCAATGCCCAGCTTCCTTATAGAATAAATTAACTAAATTCTGAATGGAAAAAATGATCCCACTTCTGTTCACTCCTGCCTTTTCTCCATCTAGACTGGCAGTATGACGGATTTGAATCCAAAATGTTCCTAATCCTATTAATAGTTCATGTACTAGTCGTAATACGTTTTAATACGTTTGGTTTACACTCTTTCTCATGAAGGTATTCACAAAATCAGTTACAATAAATTGAAGAACCAGAATTTACAGAACGTGGAATATTTAACTAATATTTTTTTCTCCAAAACTATGTTTTTGGGGGATTAAAGATTAACTATGACAGTAATGATGAAAATGTACATAATCTGAACCAAACGTAACAAACAAAATATATAAATTAGAAATATGTTAAATTTTTGGAGAGAACTAATGGACATTTAAGGCAGTTCAAAGAGTAGCTATAAAATATGTTTCCTTAAATAAACTTTCTGAACAAAACTAAGCATGAGACATAAATATTTCAAGACAAGATATTGGTTAAAATGAACCTATAGAGATCATTTTCTATTTACATTGTAGGGTAAGCCAAAGAATCCAGTCTATTCAGATTTATCAATTCTTAAATAAAATAACTGGTAATAACAACCAATTATATATGGGTAGTCTTCAAATCATAACCGTTTGTATAGTGACTGTTTAAAGTTACAACAGCACTGAAAAAGTGACTTTTGATTGTTTTTCACACTTATGACCATTGCAGTATCCCCATTCATGTGATCAAAATTTGAACCGTGTGCAACTGGTATGTATTTATGACGGTTGCAATATCCCAGAGTCATGTGATCACTTTTTTGTGATCTTCGCACTAGAAAGTCAATGTAGAAGCCAGTTTCACTTAACAACCATGTTACTAACTTAACAACAGCAGCAATTCACTTAACAAGAAGAAAGGTGGCAAGAAAGGTTGTAAAATGGGGCACAACTTACTCAACAAATTTTGGGCTCAATTGTGGTCCTAAGTTTGAGGACTACCTGTATTCAAGTTAGAAAGCCCATTAAAATATGATTGATAATTTCTAGGACTATAACAGAAGATAAGGGAATCAGGATAAAGGATTTCATACTTTTACTTTGCAGCCCTTAGTGTAAAATGAGAAGGAAAATTGGTTTGAATATATGTGGGCATCTATGTGTGGCTGTGTGTGTGTGTGCAGTGAAGAGAGTGAATGTGCCTAAGATTCCACTTGCAATCATTCTTTTCATCCCCGTTCCACTACATCTCCTGAAACTCTCCAAGGATTTACTCTTGTATTTGGGGAATCATCTGGAATGGTATTTTGAGGAAAAGGGAAAGAAATAGGAAATACTTTTTCATGACATTATCAAATTGAATCAGAAGCAATTCTGTAAAGATTCAGAATTACTTAATTACACATATCAACTAGCATGTTAAACTTTTCCCATCAGAATCTATTTCAAAGTAGCAGTTTCACTTTACTTACTCTGAAAGTAATTTTTTGAAAGAAAGGTGAGCTAAGTGTAGCAAAGTATAAGACACAGTTTTATCTTACCTCACAGAACATTTCCTAAATTCATAAATTCTACCCATGTGATTTCTCAAATAGTTCCTTTGGGTATTATCCCTTTTTATTACCCAATATCATATACCAATTCTTGTCATGTATTTTATTCCTAAAACCGTTCTTAATGTAATATAAGCATAATATACATTTACAAACTTCAAAGTGCCTATCCATTTTTGCTATATTGCTTTTTTCACATAGTTTTATACTTGACAGTGTATTAGTATTTGGCATCCCAAGTGCTTAACTCTAAAGTTCATTTGACTTAAATATGTAATTCAAAAGATGTTAGTTATTTTACAGTTAAAATTTTGACAAATTTAATCCTGGAGGCCAACTTATACAGATAATGAAGAACCCAAGATAGTTTAGGTGTGGAAATAATTAAAATTTTACCTTTGCCAAGTAATTCCCAATGTATCCTCATTGGCACTGGGGTATAAATGCCTGCCGTTTTGATTCATGGTCCAGTCACATATCCTCAGCTGTCAATTGAAACCTAGCAGTCAGATATGGATCGAGCAGTACTACAGTTTTTAGTATTTAAATGAATACATGCAAACTAGCATTTTATATGGTACAAACCTTACATCCCCAAGTAGTAGTAGTGGGGGGGGGGGAGAAACAGTTTTTAAAAATAAATTGTAAATTATTATAATGCAAGATAAAATTGTACACATATACAAAATGCTACATGAATATGCTTTTCTATTAATCAAAGCATAAAAGAACAACTGGAATTTAGCAATTAATTATATTATAAACTTAGCTGGAAACAAAGTAAATATTAATGTTCAATTTTAAAAGAAAGAAAATAAAAAGCACTTAAAATTATTCAATCTCCAGAAAAAAAAGAGAAAAAAATCAATATCTTTGAAAGCATGCATTTGGTGATACACAGATGACATGCAACTTATAGGAAAGGGTCCAAAATTACACGAAGATCTTATATTACTGTTCAAGAAGGAAAGAGGCGTTTGTAATAGAGGTTGATTAATTTAGGGTTACTCAATACAGCATCTCTTAACATGCACTGGTAAAATAACCTAGTTCTTAATTCAAGATAAAGCATTTAAAAGATTTTAAATACAAGAAGAAATGCATTACATATACGCTGAAATAAATGTTTCCCAGATCACCAAATCACCAGAATACTTCCTTTAAAAAATCTATCCATGTAACTCTACTTAGTCATTATCTAGAAGTTAGCATTTTTTTCCTTAAAGATCTAGTGATTATATTTATATCCGATAAAAAAAGCCTTATCTAAACTTTTAAGAAAACAGAGATTTTAATCTCTATAAAATAACTAACATATCATGCATCAAAGAGCACCTTGAATTTAATACAATAATGTGACTATGATTAATTGTATATAAATGCCATTTCTTTCCCTCTCCACAATATGTAAGTGGCTCTAAAAGATCAATGTTTTAGTTTAAGCAGTGACTTTCATAGCAATTCAATTTATTGCACTCCTTTCCTGAAAAAACATATGCACTGAGCTAAAGACTATCCTCTTGTCCTGACCCAGTGTGAAGACTCAGCAGCATTTCTCAGCTTCATCTTGCTGAGTCTTCAGAAAAGGAAATACAGATTTTTAATAACTGTTTTCTTAGCTATCAGATAATTATTTATTAATTTATTTAAATGTTTCTATATTTTCTGCTGTTAAATGAAATCTCAAAGTGCCTAGGAACTAAATAGACATGGAATCATTCAGTCGATATTTTTTTTTGAAGTATAGTAACAATGGCAGAAATTATGCAAAGAAAATGGGGTATTTTTAGAGTAAGTTTTATTGCTGACAGATATGCTGGGTACATTTTTATACCACTTCCCATAACTAAGTTTTAAAAAAAATAAAATAAAATCTAAAGATTTATTTCATGATTTAAGATGTGTGCAGCCACTTATCCCTCTTGGAAATTTGTCAAATTGAACTTCTGCTGTATGTTTTCCATTTATATTAATCACCTTTTTTTAAAAAAATGAAATACTTTATCTTTATGTAATAGATTTTAATTTTGTTTTATAATCATAGTGTTTAATTTTTATAAACACTCTATTGTAGAATTTATTGCCTTGAATGTCCTGCAGGCAAAGAGGCAAGACAGAAATTGAACAAATAAAAGCAAGCAAGCAAACAAACACCGAATGACAGAAAGAGGCATGAATGGAGTGTGCAAACTATAGTTTGTTAATTGTGATCCAGCATGAGAGCTAAATTACAAACAAGCTTACAATAGTTGCTCTCCTGTTGAAGGATAGTACAGCTAGAACCAGAATATTGAGGAGCTTGTATCAGCTGAGCAGACTGAAACCATGTTTCCTGATGTTTTGAGTTCTAAAAAGTTGTTTGAACAAATATTTTGGCAAAGTTGTTCTTTAAGCATCTTCAAAAGTCTTTAATAAAAACAGCAATATATTGCTAATAGAATTGGACTTTCTGGCATTTGCAGAAGACAATAAGACCTGATTTAAACTTATTGAAAACACAAAACATATTTAAATGTTATTTGCAAACCCTTTCATATGAACTGTAGCATAGTTTAGAAATTAAAATTGTACTAAACAGATAAACACAAACATCCAGCAATATGCTGCCTGCGTAGTACAACAAGTAGTTGTACTACATTATTGATGCTGTCATCTTTAAAATGGTGATCATGTGTTGGAGGACCAACTTTTAATCAGCATGTAGGAGATCAATAGATATAAGAACTTTAGGCCATTTCAGCAACCCACAGCTAATACAGCTGGCCACGAATTTCTGTGTATCATTACACTTACTGCCTTACTTCTTTTTATGATAATCCAGTACATATTTCTACGTCTTAGGACACTACCTAATTAACACAAAATCTATCTAAACTTTATTTTTGCAACTGAACATGGTTTCTCAGATATGGCCCACTTTATACACCTGACTCTTCTGCTCTGTTAATATCTGTGATGTTATCAGCTGAAGAGCAAAACAACAGATCCTAAAGGAATTCATGCACAAAACAAAAATTGTGTGTTTCCATTTTTTTCCTCTCTTTTATATTATATATCTTCATGTCTATGGATATTCTCAATCATCTAGGTCATGGTTGTCTCCAAGGTGCTTTTCCAAAAGGGAACTGGACTATCTTGGTTCTTTCCCTGGAAAACATTTCATTTTTGTTCTTGAAAGCGAAATGTTTTCAAGAAAAAAACCAAGAAAGCCCAATTGCCTTTTGGAAAAGCACCCTGGGGACATACATGCCCTCATGTTACACATAGCACTTAAAATAATGCCCTGGAAGATCTTTTAAAAGGTTTGCTCCTTTCTGGGATGGCTTTTGTATGTGTACATGCATGTATACATGTGTAAAACATCTCTATTCATGAAGTCTTCCACATTGAATAAAATGTTCTCAGTTGGGGAATCCTTTTGAGATATCATTAAGAACTACTGTACTGAGAATATTGGGGGGGGGGGAGTCGATGCTAGAAGATTTGTTAAACATCTCCTTAAATCAAAAGACAAACTTTGTGGCTAGAGATGCATCTAAATATTTGGAAACGTGTGGTACCAATAATAATAAAATGGCTTCCATAACAGGATTGTCTTTTCACAAAGAACTGGGCATGGACAATTATAAAATGTTAGTTTCCCATAGGAGAACTAACCCCAGAAGATGCTCTCTCCAACCCTGAATGGCCTTTGTGAGACAGAAATGCGTTGTTGCAAATTAATATTGAATTAGCTCTCGATCAATTGTGCTTTCATGCCACGTTTTATAATTTTATTACATTAGAAAGCTAAGTATGAAATTATACCAAGCTAAATATGGAAACTGCAAATCAGAAATCGTTCAAACATGCAAGTGATACATTTTGTTAAGATCCATGAAAATATCTGTGAATGTTCCACAGAAATTATAATACTATGAAAGCTATTACGCTCCATATTGTTAAAGAAAATACCTACGTTATTATCTACTTTTTAGATAATAGTACAGGAGTTATACTGCCACCCGCTTTGCATACAAAGCAGTGCTAACTAAGAATATTCAGTCTTGAATCCCCAATATTATGTACTCAAAAGTAGCCAACAGGTTTTGATTTCTGTCTTTATACATTAATCCTTTGCACTATTTTGAAGGTCTTGCTTGTACTATCTCTCTATTTTAAAATACTTGGTCTAATCACAACTTAATGATTAACATAAATATATCATTTACTATTCCTAATTTAAATGAATTGGTTTCCTTCCACATTTCTCTGGATAATTCTTCAAGTGAGTGTTTTAAAAATTAATTAGTTATACCAGAGCATGGGGTATTTTTTGTTGATTTGAGGAAATCGATAAACATTTGCATATTCTCATTGTTTGACTGAAATTTCCTTTCAATGTGTTTCCTTTCCAACAAGAGTAGGTAAAAGATGACCTCTTATTCATTTACATGCTTCTTTTGACAGTCATGTGATCAGATTTTACGTCAAGCTGACAGTTATGATAAGGCACACAATATGAGCAGTCAGATAGCTCATTTCCTGAATCTAAGTTTGTTTATTGTGGATCTTTTACTTATTGCCCTAAAGCAAGAAAGGCTTATTATCTTGAAATTTTAAGACAACAGATTTACTTGAAACTACCTCTTCTGTTTCATTTATGTGCCCTGAACAAATTAACCACAGGAATTCATTCTTTTTCTAATTAATCATTAAAAAATAGAAAATTTATATTGAGGCATACTCAAGATCTTATATAATATGTATAAAGAGTAATTATTAGTAATTCTCTATTTTATAATATATTTTAATACCTGGGAAAGACCAAAAATATGTCAGAAAATAATGCTAGGAATATCTATTTTCGTGTAGCAATAAATTCCATTTAAAGTTAAGCAGTGCAAAGATATTAAAGGTGTATAAATTTTGGAATGATTAGATAAAACAAATATATAAAATGATAATATTTTCAATATAATTTTCAACTACTATTTTATTTTGGCTTAGTTGTTTTCTTATTTGTTTCTTTTTTGTAAGATTCAAACATCTGATATTCACTATTATTATAAATCCTAAAGGTGTTTTTTTTTTAAGTTCATTTCCTGAATGAAAGGAGCATAGGGAAACTTGTTGGTAAGAGTAAATAAAGGATTTCTCTATTACTCTTGAAAACAAAATCAGATCTGGAATCCCTTCCATAGCTCTCCTAATTATATTGGTATGCTTCAGTGAAAAAATCCTTACACCAAGGATGATAATGCATTGATTATATTACATCATCAAGTGATGTAACATAATCACAATTTCATACTGAGTAAGGAACCACAATTTTATACTGGGTGGGAATATGTATAAAACAATCAATATTTAAATGTCTAGAAAGTGCTATATCAATGTTTATATCACTATTTGTTTTATCACTATTTGTTAAACAAAGTTAAATTTAACAATTGTAAGAGCTAAAACCATAGAAAAATGAATGTTCAGATTTATGATTTTAATAGTATTTTTGACTTTATAATTATCAATATATTAAGTTAAATTCTTTAAATAATAACCTGGTTAAAAATTAAAATGCATTGCTGATGCTGGTTCTCAGTATAATCTTTTAAATCATTTTGAGAAATCCAAACATTCCATCAACTCTCTGTAATAAATCGTTTTACTGGAATTTCTACTAAATTGTTATTTATATTATTTATAAATAGACTATTTATAAGAAAAATCACAAACAATATAAGCTGCTTAAATTTATGGTCATTATTAGTCTATATTTTGGCTTCTTTAACAACAACAAATAATAGCACTCTAGATTAAACCTCTCATAAATGAAAAGAATAAATCTCTACAAACCTCAATTTTGTGAAGCTGTGTATGTACCTATAAGAATATTTATTCCTAAAGGTTGAGTATATTAAAAGGAATTGTAGATGTTTAAAACACTTCTCTGGAACTGAAACCATTGGCTTTCTAATTTAGATTTTCTCTCAAGTAATATAAAATGATTGATTGCCTTTATTTCACGTAACTTTTGATTTTTCCTTCCATTCATCATGGTCTATTTTAACCTAAATGCATTTAGGATCTGCCACAGGAAGAGTGGTCTCTTTTAAATTGTTGTAAAGTAATGAAAAGACATAATAAATCAATCTTATTTATATCTTACAAAAGCATAATCGTTACTCTATCCAAGTAATTTAGACAATTTCTCCCTGGGAATCTTTCCAAATAAATAAATAAAGTTATATTGCATCGTCATTTCCTAAAGTTTTTAAGGAATCAGATGCATGCAAAAAGAGGGAAAGTAAAGGATTTTGTTTTAACTAGGCCTAGAACTTAAACTTAGTTTTAATTTGCACTACAAGCTTATTTTCTGTATTGCACTGCTTCTAGTTCAAGTAGCCCTACTTAGGGAATTCAAGGTATTCCCTACTTAAATTTCTAAGAATTACTTCAAATTCTATATTCCTGCATTCTGTTAATAGCAAGGATCAACTTGTTGTAGGGCAGTGGTATCTTTAGCATGCAGAATTAAATAGCATTCTGACTCTGAACATGCCAATCTTTTATAAACCTACAGTTAAAGGTAAGAAACTATTAATGCCATAACTGGAAACTGTTTTGTTTGTTTGTTCTGCGTTTTGGAACTGTTTTAACAAGAACGTGCGCATGCACTGTTCAATATAAATTGTTCTGTGCACAGGCCGAACCAGGTGCAACCCACCTCTGATACACACCACATATTATTTCAGTTATATGGAAATCACTGTGCAAAACTCAACTGCCTGACTACAGTGTCAGAGTAAGAATAGTCAACCAATTTAGAAATAAATGGTTTTATTATTTTTAAAATATTGCATATCTGGAACAACTTCATTTTGAATATCGTAACTACTACTAATAATAATAAAGGCAGGACAGGATACATTTTAAAAATCCATAATAGCAAGCAATGGTATTACTACAGCTCTGCCAATGGAGACAAGTCCAGGACACTATAGTTCCTAATTAAACATCACTTGCAATTTTAAATGTCTTGTATCTACTTATGTAATTAGGAACTATTCCTATTTCAGTTTCATTTATATTTCTTAATAAACCATCTTGATATAGTGTGATCTTTATCAAAACGTATGTATCATATAAGAAATGAACTGATTTAAATAGCTAATACATATTTAATATTTTAGTAACTTTCTTTGATGCTTTCACGAATAAACAAAACAAAATAAAACGCCAACACTTGCTATATCCAAGCACTTTTAAGATAGTGTGATTTAATATAGGGACAAGTGCCTTTCAGATGTTTTAGACAACCACTTTCATAATCCCTTAATGCTGAACATACTAGAGAGGCTGATGTGATATAAAATCCAAAGTATTTTATCCTAGTCTATCAAATTTATGGATTTTGCTGATTTTGTGCTGTGGCCATTGAGTCGCAAAGAAATAGACACATCTTAGCAACTGAACAAGAAGTACAAAATACCATACTTCGGGCATGGAGGACAAAAATATTTCCAGATTCATCAGTACAGTACCCCACTATATCACAAGAAAGGTTCACATGAACAAATGCCCACCAAACTACAATGACTCAAACTGTATTCATTATCATGAACCATACATTATTTTTGGACAACTAGAATTCAATTTTATTGTATGTAATGTACTGTACATTGCCCAGAATTGCTTCTGTAAGATAGGTGGCCAAATACACAGAATAAATAAATAAATTCTTGTGTGTCCCTTATTAATCTCTCACTACCCAAAAACTATACTTTCAGTTTGGGAAAAAATATTTTTGTAGTAGATGCTCAGTATTAATGAGGTGTAATGTATAAAATCCTATTAGAAATGTAACTTTTATTAGAACCTAGGTAAGAAGAAAAAGATCTTCCATCACAAGCTATCAACAAAGCCCTTTAACCCTCATAAATCTAGGAATCAGGACGTTCTGCAATGTTATCTGATTACATCATTTTTCTTTTGGAATTACTTGATGCTAATGCAGAAAATTTAAATGTTTAAAACTGAAATGCTAAAAAACTATATAGTGAATCAATTTTCCTTGAATCTGACCAGAAATCTTTTCTGTTATTTTTAGAAGATAAAAGGTTTATCAGGTAAACATAGGAGGTTCCCTATATTACAGGCTTCATAAAGCTACTGAATCCCTTGGGATTCTAAAGTTCAGTGATAGCAAATAAGAAGGAACCTGTTGCAAATATTTGTATTTTTCATTGTTAATACCTATGTGAAACTTGCCCACCTGTTGCTGGTGTAGGAAGGAAGGGTCTCTTGGACTTAGTCCCACATATCGATTGGCTTGGGAGGTACCTGAAGCTGTATAGGCTGATTAAGGAAGAACAAAACATATTGATAAAGACAGAAACCTACCTCATATTATTCAAATATGAGAGACTCAGAATTATGAAGCATGAATCTGGTTAAGTGCATAATTCAAGCCTGCCTATTGACTTCAATGGAATCTGCATGGAAATAGAACTACATTATCAATAATAAAGTTTTTAAATCATTTATTTTTTTCCAGTTTCATTGAAGAGAAGTTAATTAAATCTGATTCTCATCTTTTACTACTTTATATTAGAATTCTACCAGTGGAGGCACAAGCAAGATAAAAATAATCCTTAAACCTTTGTGTATGTATGAATGTAAGGTACATTGCTTCCAATACTATTCATATACAAAATGCAAATGTTGATTTAAGAGTCGTTTTTATGTGGCATTAATGGTTTTTCCAGGGAGAGCTAATTATTTTAAATAACTGGTAGAAACTATATTATTATGCTCCATATTCAAAATTAAGTACTTGTGAAGAAAAGACAACGTAAGAATTGATATTCAGCCTAGGACAGGTCATACTTGATCATGTCATGTGACATATTGTGATGTTTTTTGCCTTTGCGGATCCAGGGTGAATGTGGCCTGTGCATGATGCATCCAGCCTGCAGGCTGCCAGTTTGACACCCCTGGCCTAGGAGGTTCAGAGTCCTAACATTTTCTTCTGTTGAATCATGTGCGTGAAAAATAGAAGGTTACTTTTTGAATCAAGAATAAGTAAATTTCCAATGAAAGTCACTAACTGTTGATTGCTCAGGGTTACAGGTAGTCCTCAACTTACAACTGTTCATTTAGTGACTATTTAAAATTACAGCATATTAAAAAGTGATTTATCATCAGTCTGTTGCAACATCCCAATGGCTACAAAATTAAATTCAGACTCCCAGCAACCAGCACGTATTTATGATGGCAGCAAGGTCCCAGTGTTTATGTGATTACTATGTGTGATTTTCCCAACTGGCTTCTAACAAGCAAAGTCAAGGGCAGAAGTTGGATTCACATATTGAAGGCATGATTCACTTAACAACTACAGCGACTTGCTTAATAGTCAATAATTGGCAAAAAAGGTCATAAAATCCAGCATGACTCACTTAACAACTCCTTTTCTGGTCCCAACTGTCATCATAAGCTGAGAACTAACGATAGTCTATCGACTGAAATTGATGGTTTTGCTCTACTTCCTAAATCTGAGACATAGTATCCATAATTTTATAATGATTTGACTGCAATAACCAAATCATTAAAGAATGAAAGCTGAGTATATAAAAGGTGGATTAATTTCAAAAATGCAGACTCACATTTTGCAAAGAATACATATATGGTTTCTTAAAAGAATTACTATTAAAAATCCACTGAAGAGCTACAATAAATGATGTATCTATAATGGGGAATGTGAATGTTCTTAATTTAATGGGAAGAATCATTTCAATACTTTTTTTAAATAAAATGTTTAAGAAAATCAACACTGACATGTAATACTTCGCCAAAATATATAATTACAGATAAATAAGTGTTGGTTGCCTTTTTGTGCCTCAGATCTTATCATAAGCACTGATTTAATAGAATTAAAACTGAGTATATTCCTCAGTAAAGGTATATCTTGATACACAGTGAAACTCTTTAATAAAATAAAAAATATAAACTATAATCAATTTTAGATGTCATCTGTGCCATTTTTCTTACTACATTAAAAACATACACATTAGTGAAAAAATGAAATCTTCATGCAGAAGTAAAATTTATTTAAGTATATTTTGCTATTGTAATCTTTCTTCTCTTGAAGACCTATAATGAGTCCTCAAAAAATACTATTACAATGTTTAATGCTCCCTATGTGTCCTTAACACTATTTAACATATTATTTGAATAATGGTTCCTGAGTGCTCTGTTGAGATGGAACACGGGTGAGATTTAATGAAAACTCTACACCACATTCTGAACCACATTCCCATTCACTTCTGACAGATGTGGTACTTTGGATCATTAAAAACTTCTTTGCTGCTGTTGATAAGTATATGTTTAAAAAATGAAAAATTATAAGATAAATCATTTTGAAACTATTACCTCATTAATTACATTATACTAATGTTAGATTAATCATAGCAGAACCAATCTAACTCTCTCAAACAGTGGTTATAGTGGTTACTATCAACCAAGAGTGAGCCTCTGCCAGGAACCTGGATGCACTGTATGTCAAAGTTAAATTTTAAAAAAAATCCACAGGCTTAAAATCTATTGCTGGCAGAAGAATCTGGGATCTTTGCTAGAAAACAGCTTTGCTCCCATACAGGATTTTTGCTGTTTTAAGAAGTTGGGTAAGGAAAAATTCAACTCCTCTACCATTTTCTTAGTGGAATAGAAACTGTTTCACTTTCCCAACCCACACAGGATTGCTAACATATTTTCTGTTCTCATTTTAACTTTCCATTTCATTATCTACAACGAGTCATGGTGGCACAGTGGCTAGAGTGCAGTACTGTAGGATACTTCTGCTGACTGACTGCATTTGGCAGTTAAAATCTCACTAGGCTCAAGGTTGACTCAGCCTTCCATCCTTCTGAGGTCGGTAAAATGAGGACCCAGATTGTTGGGAGCAATATGCTGACTCTGTAAACCGCTTAGAGGGGGCTGTAAAGCACTGTAAAGCGGTATATAAGTCTAAGTGTTATTGCTATGAGTACATTTCAGACTTAGTTCAATTGGTATCATTTTCCTACTGGTTTAACAAGAAGGGATGTTAATCTATGGACTTTGATGTCACGCCCTGCATCTCTTATGACATAATAGCTATAGTTGCTGGGAGTTGTTTCAGCCACATCGGGGGGACCATGTTTCCCATCTGTCTTTTAAATATTTTTTATTTAAATGCTTATGCATGCCCTATCAAATCATCTGACATTAACACTGATTGTAAGTACTTACTAAATGAATTATAGTCAATAAATTAATGTTTGTTCTATAATTACAAAAATACATCTCAACTAATATAAAGGTTAATTCAAGGATTACTTGAACCATTTTATGAAAATAGTAAGCTGTATTTCCAAGTGGTGGCAAAATCAAGTGGAAGCAATGAGTAAGAAAATAAATGAATGTATATATTATTCAGTGTGAAAATTTTGTGCCACTATCCTCATATCACTAGTGACCATTATGCTTGACACTGTCCATTGAATAGGATATGGTAAGCGATTATAGCAAATGGATGAATTACACAATATATAAAAGTTTTTTTTCCCAGTAGACTTAATATGACTACTGTAATGTTGCATTTTGTTGAAATGATTAATGTTGGAATTTGATTCAAACAAGTTTAGAGTATTGATCTAAAACTGCAATTCCATTGAAGACTATAGGATAAGGGCACAGTTTTGAAAACAGTAAATGAATGAGTGCTAGGCAGAGGTTTTTAAATTTCTTCAAATATAGATATTCCAAAGGATTCTCATTATTCTAATGAATAAAAATGCTTATGATAATTGAGTCTAATGTTGTGGAACAATATCTGCTTTCAAGAAAGCTCTCTTAGGAGCAAACAGCTGGATCTCTTCCTTTCTCTGGATTTCAGATGTCAACAATTTTGCAGCTATAAATCTTGATTGTGCTTCTGGTTTTCAGAATGTCTATCTTAAATTTAAAATCTGAATGTGTTTTAATTTTCCATTGGCAGTTGTTGGTCAAATTAGTTATCGTCTTTACTGTGGCTGCTCTATCAGAAAGGTTGCAGAGTAATTTGACTTTTAATAACTGTAGAATACAGGTAGTCCTCAACTTACAATCATTTGTTTAATAACTATTCAAAGGTAGAACAGCACTAAAAAAACTGACTTGCAACTGGTTCTTGGATTTATACCTGTTACAGCATCTCAGTGGTCACATGATCAAAATCTGGGTGCTTGGCAACCAACATGTATTTACAATTGCAGTGTCCCAGTGTCATGTGATTGACACTTGCAATTTTCCCAACTGGCTTCCAACAAAGAAAGTCAATTGTAAGGGAGCCAGGTTCACTTAATGACTATGAGCTTTACTTAACAAGGGCAGTGGTTCACTTATCAAGTGGCAAAAATTGAGCACAACTCACTTAACAACCGTCTTGCTTAGCAATGGAAATTTTGGTCTCAATTGTGGTTGTTAAGTTGAGGACTAACTGTAAAACTATCGTGATATTATATTATTAATTGTGAGTGTCTGCTTGGTCAAATAGGAGGAAAAGGTGCCTTTTCTGGCCTGAACTGGAAAGTATTTTGATCCTTTGATGGACATTGATTTTCCCTAGGCAAAATACTTACTGGTTTCTGTAGGTGAAGATGCCTCACCTTCAGTGGATGTAGTGATGGGCTTAGTGTCTGTCATAGTCAAGGTCACAGGTCTCATCGTACTGTGATGGGGAGAGGGTGCCAAAACTGGAGTAAAATGGCCAGGCATTTTCCCTACTACTTGACCACTGCTGTTAGGCTACAAAACAAAACCAGAAGAATGCCTTGTGAAATACACATATAATGCCTTCTGTATCTTAGGGCTTCCAGAATTCTATAGCTGTAGAGTATCAATCTGACATACAAATCTTTCTTTCTGAATACAACTGCAGTCTTAATGTTGGTGTGTTTAAAACTTGTGCAACTTTTTCTTATGTAAATAATTTTCTCAAGCACCTATTTATCAGGTAACAGACTCACTAGTGAAGCCATATTATTGATTCTAAATGTTTATCAACATCAAATAAATAAATAAGTAAAAAGAACCCAAATGTTATCACTAGATTCTGTTGATCTTATGTAGATGATTGAAAAATTCTAACCAATTGTGTAAAAAAAGTAAGCATACACCATGTTTTTTTGACATGTTATCTTCATTCAAACAATATATATTAAAAAATTGAACAAAAAAACTATGAAAAATAAAAACCACTTATTGAACCAAACTTTAACAAATATACTGTTTCCTTCTGCCAAAAGTAAGTGCATCCCTTGGCTTTTAATATCTGGCTCTTTGGCAGAAACAATCTCAAGCGGACATTTCTTCTAAGTATATACCAGTCTCTGACATAAGCTGGAAAAGATTTCTACTACCACCATCACCCCATGAATAAAAATTTCAACTGTGTAAGGAGTGTGTGTGTTTTTGAGGGGTTTCTTTAATGCACAGCGTTCAGTCCACAGCATCTACATGGGATTTATATTGGGGTTCTGACTTGGCCATTGCAGAACTTGTATTTCTCTTCTCTCCCCTCCCCCCCCCCGGCTATTCCTTGGTAGATTTACTGAAATATTTAGGGTCACTGTCATGTTAAAGTTCGCTTTGCGTTGAACTTCAATCTTCTGACTGATGATCTCACATTATCCTCAAGCACTCTCTGATACAATGAAGAATCAATGCCTTTATGCAACAAAGCAGTCTGAACTATAATATTTCCAACACTATGCTTTACCTTTGGTATCAGGTTCTTCTGGTAAAATGCTGTTTCTGGTTTTTGCCAAGCATTTCTAGTGACAAATTTATGCTTATTCAAATTATTGACAAATAAATCTATCTTTTCCTCGTCTCTCCAGAGCACATGTTCCAGAAGTGCTGGACTTTGCCTAGATGTTCATGAGGAAACTTTAGCCTTGCCCTGAAGTTCTTTCTGGACAACAACGTTCTTCTACTGGGATGCCTTCCATGTAGATCTAATTTGTGCAGTAGACTAACAGTATACTCATGCACTTGGGACATCAATCTTGGCAACCACCACCTGTGGGTCATGTGATGAAATTCTGGGGTTTTTAGAGACTTCTTTCATATCTTGTGTTCTACTCTCAGACTAAATTTGCTGAGATAGGGCAAATTTCTTCAATTCTAGCAAATTGGCAGGTATTTGAAATCTTTACTTGTTAGATGATTGTACTGTAGCTGGCCAGTGGGATGACTGATGTCCAATTGTTTGGAGATCATTTTAAATTTCTTCCCATAGGAATCACTAACCTCCTTTCTCAAACCCTCAGATGACTCTTTCAATCTGGTGATATTGCACACTTTAATAACAACAAAAATTAAACTAAATGTTTGAGGTTTAAATAAGGCAGGTTCCTTCCAAATCCTCTCTAATGAAGACTTTATCTCATGCATCTGATCTAGCTCATCTGATTCTTATTTTAGGTATTTTCTCTAGAAATTAAGTGCATATCTACTTTTTCTACATTTTGTTTATTTAAATTACACCATGGACTGAGGTATGGTGCCTCAGTGACTTAACGATGCTGGAGATGATATCTGTTCCAGTGATCTGAGTCCTGGCATTGTGTGGCGGGTGTGAATTCCTGTCACTCGCCTCAGTTTCTGTCCACCTAACAGTTCAAAATCATGTTCTGAGTGATTAGATAAGTAGGTACTCCATGCAGTAAGTCAGATTCCTGTTGGTTTGGAACCTTGTCACTTGTGACACCCGCTTACAAGGGGGCTCTTGTGAAAGGAAGGGGCCTTAGATGATACTGCAGGAAGAGACGCTTGTCTTACTTTCTAGTGTAAAGCCAGCTAGCCTTCCTGTGGCGCACTCTGGGAAGCATGAAAGCATGTTCTAACACCACCATATGCTAATACCACCACCACCACAATGGACTACAAAATGTAACAAGTGGAATGATATTTGTTTTGTCATGTGCTTTTTAATCTAACAATATTTTTGGACTAAAGAACAAACATCTGTATGTTGGAATATGCTGAAAAAGTTTTTTTAAAATCAATGGAGTGCACTTATTTTTTCACATTATTGCTATTCAGTGGGAACAAGGAATAAAAAAGAATTTCTAATAAGTGGTCCAGGACACCTACCAGAATCCCTCTTTGGATTTGATATTAACATTACAGCCTGAGAGTTTAATTATTGCACAAGTACTGCCTATTACAAATGCAGATGCCCCTACATAAACATTGGAAATTGTCTATTACTTCAGCAGGAGGAGTAACATGGTAAGTAACCATATAATTAAAGAATAGTCAATTGCACTAAATTAATTGTAGTAACATTAATTTGATTACTAGGAAAGATTGCTATATAATAGAATCAACCATTTTATTTTTATTGCTTCAATTATTTACTTTAAAAGGATGCCTAAAATATAGATTGTTCTTTAAACAAATGCCTTGGCAAATCCATTTGTATTCACATCAAACTACAGATAAAATGCTTCTAAAAACCTATACCATTGCCTGTGCATGACACATGAAGTAGATATAAGCAACTGTGTGATAAAATTAAACATATAAATATTTGTTTAACTATTAAATGATAAATGGAAGGTATAATTAAGTAACCACATATATGTAGTCATCAATTGAGATTCAGAGAGATTATTAATAATGTACACACATTGTACTGCAGATGTATGATCCAGCTATTTTGAAGTATCATGTTATAGTAGTCATCTTTGAACAAATGAAAAATTACTTTCTGGGAGCTTGAGTATAGATGTTGAGGGCTGAGTACAAACGTGATATATCATGAAATATATTAGTTAAATGTTTATTTTGATTAATTCTAAGATTGCAACCACTCCAAAATATCTGCAGCCATAAAATCTACAATAATTTACAGTATTATTTCAACATTATATGCTCTATTATAACTTTACATAATGTAGGACCCAAGAAGTAAAACAGAGTAAACCTATAACTAACAAAACTCAATGAAGTGGTATTAGAGGTGAATGTTAATAACAGTTAAGTACCGTTTTGTGGGGAGGGGGAGAGATGTGGGCGGTATATTCTATGTTTGCTAGCTTTATGCATTCTTTGCTTTATTTTATTCTTTTTTTAATTCCCTTACCTGTCAAATGTTGGTTTTTTTAGATGAAATGCATGTAAATACACATGCCAATACTGCAAATTAGTTTAAAGTCTATAACTACAAAGCGCACATTTAATTTTAAAATAATAAAAAAATATTTACATCATGACAATGGATCAAACATCTAAGGTGCCTAGAACATCAATTTCTGTCATAGTTGAGAAAGCTAGCGCATTACTTATTTACATAAAATCAGCAGCAGAACCAAGCTGATACAGTATATGATCTGTATACAGACTGATATGTATAAAACATAACAAATATTGCACATATCATACTAATGTATATTTATTTTACTTAGTTTGTCTGTGTAATAAACTAGAAATATGAGATATTGCATAACATCACTAAAGTACAATGTACAACAGTGCTAAAAATACTGATAAAAGTCAGCAAATTATTTAATAGATTAGTTCAATTAATGAACACTGCATTAGTGGAAATTAATCAAGGGATGTTTGACACTGGTCTCTGATACTGACAATTTTATGGATACTATAACCCAACTACAGAATTTTCCTGGTTCAATTATCTTTTGATATTTAAATTTTAATTATACAATGCTCCCTTTAATATGTGAATCCATGTACGAGTATAAAAAATATAGGTAATTACTGGCAAGACCAGAGATAATGCAAAGTATGTTTAATACCCACAGATATTGATGAAATTTAAATTCGTAAATGTAGGGTGAAGTATCACTTTAAATTAAATTTATAATACTTTTTAATGTTACAGGATGTTAAAAGAGTCATGAACAAGGTCTTTTCATAATATTTACAGTATTCAAGTGTGATGTATGGCATGTGACTGAATGGTATATTTTACCAGCCTTTAAAGGAATAGAATCCAAAAACGTAATGGTATATGGGAATGACCTTGGGATATATACTGCCTTGGGAATGGTCAGATAAGAGGAAGTATGTTGCAGCTGCATAGTGGGAAGAGCAAGAGGCTCTGGATATACCATCCCTGAATTATTAAGCTGTAAAGATGATAGTGGGAGAATTGTACTTTCAGACTTGCAAGATTCTGTTCATGTAGTTTTATAATAAAGAGGAATTAGCTTATCCAGCCATGTTTTTCTGTCTGGTGTACCTGATAAGGTGAACAAAAAGACATTTAGGTTTCTCTTATGCAGCATCCTTGCAATATATTGTTCTAGCCTAAAATATTCTTCCCAGAATTTTCTCTGAATTGTTTCTAATTTTGAAACAACATAAATATATTCATAAGTTTTTTTAATGTTTTTACTTTAATTTATTGATGATTAAATAAAGCTGGTCATAAATACTAAGACTGTTTAAATCAGTGGTTCTCAACCTTCCCAATGCCGCGACCCTTTAATACAGTTCCTCATGTTGTGGTGACCCCCAACCATAAAATTGGTGTCTCAGTTCTTAAGACCATCGAAAATATGTGTTTTCCAATGGTCTTAGGTTAAAGGGTCGTTCAACCCCCAAAGGGGTCCCGACCCACATGTTGAGAACCACTGGTTTAAATGAAGAACTCAAAAGGGCTGGACAATTGAGCATCTAGTAGCAATAGCAAAGGAAATAAATTTCACAATCCATCTACAAATATCCAGAGATACAACTCAGCTAAGAGTAGTTAGTGATATTGTGAAAGGGAT